GTCTATCCCACAGTGATTCAGTAAAAAAAAAATTTTTTTAAAAAAAGGAAGAAAAGGTACCTGGGACCAATGATGACCCAGCTCTCAGCAGTCTGCGCTCTGCCCCCCAACCAACCAAGGCATAACCTTCACACTCCGCACGCACGCCTTCCACTCTAGCCTTTGTACATGCTACTTCCTTGGTTTGAATGCACTTCCTCTTGAACTCCTCTTATCCTACAGAACCCAGCATAAGGGTTGCCTCCTCTGCAAAGTCTTCCCTCACACTTTTAAGGGCATTTGTTCCTCTGCCGGCACCTTTACCTACCTGCCTGGTTTGTGGGTCTGCTTCTCTCCCGGGGGCTCTGAGCTCCCCATCGGCTCTTGGCACAGAGCAAGTGCTTGAGAGAAATTTTTGATATGAGCAAATGTAGGAAGAAACAACTAGTAGGATTGGGCTTGGATGTGCTCAGAGTTGAACTGAGAGGGAAAAGATAGTGCCTACGGTCAGTGTCCAGACCAAGTAGCTTGCGGGAGGCTGGCTTCCCCAGACCAGTCGGTTGATGCTTTAAAGAGTTTGGTGCTTATGTGGGTCTCTACAACGTAGGAGGTGGAAATCGTCTTTAAAATGAGCCCCTGGGGCCGGGGGAAATAAAACAGCGGGCAAGGGGCTTGCCTGGCAAACAGTTGGCATGGATTTGATCCCAGTCACCCCGTATGGTCTCCAAGCTTGCCAGGAGTGATCCCTGAGAACTGAGCCAGGAGTAAGCCCTGATCACCACTGGATGTGACCCCCAAACAAACAAACAAACAAACGTCTTTTTGAATAACAATGAGCTCACACTGGGATTAAAGCACTGCTAGCATTGCATGGGAGTCAGCCCCAGTTCAAACTTGGCACCCCACCCGGAGTGACCCCGGAGCATAGAGCCAGGGTGACTCCTGAGCACTTTTGCATGTAACCCAAACCTTCCCATCCATCCACCAAAACTTGGCTCACGCAGCTGGGCCTTCCACCTTAAGAATGGGCCCGCCTTTCTTAACAGATAAATGGGCATGTGGGAAGGGATTTAAGAAGGGACTGCATTCCTTGCCCCGTGTTGTCTGGCCCCCAGTTAGTCAGTCCTGTGGGAGGAGGTGCCAGCTAAGGACACAGCCTAGGGGTGCTGTGCAGAGGAAACATCTGAGGCAGCTTCCTGGAGGAGGTGTCTTGACCATCATCTGTGACCTTATTGACTGATGGATCTGTTGTCCTGGCTACAGGTGGCCAGGTCAGCAGAAGCTTCACAGCCCAAGTGACATGTCACGGAGAAGGGAAAGGAAGAGAGGGAAAGGACAGGCAGCCCACAGGAGCAGGGTTCTACTCCCCCCACCCCCGTATTTCCAGGCACGAGCCTCACCTGAAAGCATGCAGTTCCCCTGTGCAGATCCTTGCATTCAACTCCAGCTCCGCAGGGACTTGCTCCCAGCCTAGGAGCGGAGCTCCATGGCGGCCAAGCCAGGGCTTGCCCTGTGCACCCGTGAGGCAGCCCTGTGGTATGCTGGCCAGTGCATTCCGCCCCTGTTGACCCAGGCTGATCCTGGGATGGTGCAGTGACTCCTGAGCTTCCTGCCCAGTGTCACCAAGGCCAGTCCTGGAGGAGGCACGGGTCATGGACAGAGGCCACCTGATCCTGGCTGTGCCCCTAATGACACCCCTTCCCTCCAGTCTCCTGCTAGGAGGGACTCAGCTGCCCCTTAGTATGGGGATCCCTCAGGCGGTTCCACCCTGCAGGCCCTCAGAACCCATCAGGCCCTCATGGCTGGGGCAGGACCAAGGGATCATCTCAGGAAGCATCTCATCTGCCCTCCAGGCCAGCTCACCACCCTGCTTTACACTGGACCACTTTCAGCCTTGCAGAACCTTCCACCTCAGATCTCTCCCCAGGAATCCTACCACCAGTGCTAGCTCCCCCTGTCCCCTGGGCAATCCCTCTGCCCATTTGTATTTTTTCTTACAGTTTTCTAGAAAATATTTTTAATTGAATCACCATGAGATACAGTTTCAAAGTTGTTCATGATTGGGTTTCAGTCATACAATGTTCCGATACCCATCCTTTCACCAGTGTACGTTTCTTCCCGCCAATGTCCCAGTTTCCCTCCCACTGCCACTCCCACCCCCACCCCCACCCCCACCTGCCTCTATGGCAGACACCTCTCTTCTCTCTTTTTTCCTTTTTCCCTTTTAGGCACTGTGGTTTGCATTGTTGTTACTGAAAAGATATCATGTATACCCCTTTACCTCCTTTCAGCACTCAGTTCTTGTTCAGAATGAACATTTCCAACTGTCATTGTCATAGTGGTCCCGTCTCTATCCTAACTGCGCTCCCCCACCCAGTTGTGGCAGTCTTCCTACCATGGACCCGTCCTTTTAGCTCTCACTTCTACTGTCTTTGGGGTATATTCTTATACCGTGTGTGTTTGTGTATGTGTGTGTTTCTGCAAAAGAGTGCGGTCATTTTTTATATAGCCCTTCTCTCTTATTTATATATTGGTTCGGGGGCTACACCCAGCAATGTTCAGGGTTTGCTTCTAACTCTGAGCTCAGGAATCACTCCTAGAGTTGCTCGGGGGACCATGTGGGGATGGGATCCGGGTCGAGTGCGTGCAAGGCAGGTGCCCTACCCACTGTAATATAGCTCCAGTCCCATAAGTGTGATCATTCCATGTCTGTCCCTCTCCTTCTGACTCCTTCTGCCCATTCTTGTTCTCCTAAAACCCCTGTCCTACGTGGACAGTGAGAGTATCCCCCTGCCATGACATGCCCAGGGCCAGCAGGACCCATCACCACCCCTCCCTCAGAGAATAAATCATTCTGATTGAAATTCTCCTGCCTCTGACAGGACAGCCCTGGCCCAGTGCCCTCTCTCTCGGGGGACTGGCTGCCTGAGAACGGCCTGGGGACGTGGCTCTGTGACTTCGCCTGACAGCCTCCTTTGCTGGGCTCAGGGCTGAGCCCGTCACTGATATGAGAGACCTGGAATGTGTGGGGTGAGCAGGCATGGGGGTTCAGACCTCCCCCTCCTTAAGCCAGAAGCTCTGTGGGCACAGCCGAGAGCCTGTGCCAGGAGAAGGGCCTCTGGGAAGCATCACTCCCAAGGGGGTACGCTCCTGCAGCTTACAGGGGAGAGAGGATCTTTGCGCAGTAAGTGAGAGGGTGAAGGAAGGCACCAAAGGCAGCCATTGGCATGGGAGCACACAGCAGCGTGCAGGTGGCCTGGCCCGTCCCCGGGTCTGCACGGCCATTGCCATCACATCTGCAAAAGCTCGAAAATAAGGATGCGGAATGTGTCTGTTCAGCCAAGGGGAACCACCTCCAAGTTTGGGGCATTTGGGAAAGCCAGATGTGAAGACATCTGGCTGTCACCTGTTGGGGTCCAGGTGTGTTTCCCACGCACTGTTGAGCATCATTGGTACTCAGCTCCGTTCTACACCCGCTGGGGGGCAGCTTTTTCCCTCTGCGGAGCAGCCTGTGCCTCCCAGATCTGTCACACGCTGTCACAGAATGAGCAAGGATCCCTGAGGCACACTTTGGGTTCACTCTCCTAGTCTGATTCCCTGGCATCAAACTGGCATTTTCTGAGCCATGCCTGTGACTCAGACACCCTTTGGGGGGGGGGGGGGGCTTTTCTTCCTCATGGCAGCCCTATGAAATAAACACTTAGCCCCATTTTATGGATGAGGAAACTGGGGCTTGGACCCATTAAGCTGCTCACTCAGTGGGTCAGAGCTGATCCAGGCAGGGGTTGTGCTCTGGGATGGTTGATTTCAGCACTTCCATCCAGTCACAGATAACTCCTATTTTCTGAGAGATGTAAACGCATGTCTTGGTCCATATCCTTCCCCATGGCTATGTGGCTTCATCATGAAGGTCTGATGTGTCTTTAGTGTATGAGTTTGGGGCTTACATGACCTCTACAACATCCCCGAAGCTGCTCAGAGACCTCAAAGAAGCAGCAAAGGTGCCTTCTTGGTTTGAGGTGGGTGACCAACCCCTCTGCAGACAGACCAGGGTGCCCAGCTCACACAGAAGGACCACGCCCACTGGCAGGCAGGGAAAAGGGAGATGGTGGTCCTAGCTGTTCCAAAATTATAGCAATGACCCCTCCATCCCAAACCCACCCCTGTACCCAGGCCAGTCCTCCAGAGCTTAGCTCGTCACTGAACCCTTCGCATCTGGCACTGGACCCTTAAAGCCTCAAGTCTCCACTCTCGGGCCTTCACTGGTTACCCTTTCCTCGGTTTTAGTTAGAAACAGGCACTCTCTGCCCCTTTATTTGGGAATTGGCATTTTCTTCTTCTGTTTTCTGCACATATGGGTCCAATGCTGGTATTGTTTCCCTTACACCAGAACTGATTTGGCGCTGCCATGTGGCAGAGAAGGGATGACAATCTGCCCATAAGCACAGCCCTCTGTGGCATGTTTAGCAGAGCCGGTCCCAGGCAGAGAGAATCCCGTCACTGCACAGCCAGCCGGTGGACAGCTGTGCTCAAAGCCTGCTTGGATGAGAACTCAGTCTGGGTGGCATTTTTTTTCCTCAAAAAAAAAAGATATTGCTGCCCCTTCCTTAGGGTACTGGAAGGATGATGAGTCTGGGAGTAGCTTTGGAGGAAGTAGATTTCCAGAAGGATGCCCAGTAACTATTTTTTTTGAAAAGGGGGTGGCAGGCCAAATCACTCTGGCTACCTCTGCTCTCCATGAAAGAGGTCCAGGGCTGTTGACTGGTAAAACAAAGAGTAGAGACCAGAGACAGTGGGTTGGGTGCTTCCTTGGCATGCACCCAGACTGGGTTCTATCTCAGCATCCCATACGGTCCCCCAAGCCCACCAGGAATGACCCCTGAGCGCAAGCCCTGAACACCACCAGGTGTGGCCCCAAAACAAAAACAAAAATGGAGTAAAGGTTGTTTCTCGGAGGGGTGACCTCCACGTACTTCTTCAGCCGGTCACACCTTCTAGAATGTTCCTCTTTGTCTCTGCAGGCCTCCTGCCCTGAGCGGCAGCCCCGTCATCTCCGACATCTCATTGATCCGGCTTTCCCCACACCCTGCCGGCCCCGGGGAGTCCCCCTTCAGTGCCCACCACCCGTACGTGAGCCCCCACATGGAGCATTACCTCCGTGCCATGCACAGCAGCCCCACGCTCCCCACCATCTCGGCGGCCAGGGGGCTCAGCCCTGCTGAAGGTGAGTAGGGCCTGGGTGGAGGTTGGGGGTTGGGGGGGATACGCGCTAACTAACACTGTTGCTTCCCCAGTCCCTGGGCAGTGAGCAGCTCATGTGCCTTTGCACCATGTTCAACAACGGCTTCTGTGGGGCCAGAGCCATTGTACAGGCCAGAGGGTGCTTGCCCTGCACACAGACAACCCAGGTTTGATTGACAGCAGCACATAGGATTTCCTTAACCATGCCAGGACTGATTTTTGAGCAGAGCCAGGAATAAGCCCCGAGCATCCCCAGATGTGGCCTTCCAAACCAAAAAACAATGACTTTTTTTTTTTTTTTGCACCTTGCAGCTGGAGTGATAGCACGGGTGTTTCAAGCTGCTGGCCTGGCTGAGCCAGGTTCAATTCCTCTGCCCCTCTGGCAAGAGAGCCTGGCAAGCTACCGAAAGTATTTTGCACGCACGGCAAAGCCTGGCAAGCTCCCCGTGACGTATTCGATATGCCAAACACAGTAACAACAAGTCTCACAATAGAGACATTACTGGGCCCGCTCGAGCAAATCGATGAACAGGAGGACAGGACAGGACAGACAGTGCACCTTGCGGGGAGCTCAGAGCCTGGGGGTGAGGGTCAACTCTGCCCTGGTGATGTAGCTCAGAACCTCACGCTTGCCCTGGGTGAGGTTGCCTCAGCCCACCTTATCACTCCATCCTCTCAGGGGCAAGGGGCCTCCCAGCTGTTGGCTGTGACCTAGAGCTAAGGGACAGGGGGTAGTGGGGCACAGCCAGGCTGGAGTTTGGCCTCCAAGTGGATGCGGAAGGACACACTGAAGCCCTGGGCTCCCCCTTCCGGCCATGTGAGCTGTGCCTGGCCTGCTCTTTGCTAAGGGAAACTAACCAAGGTGAAGGACATCAGCCCCGGGGCCTGAGAAGGGCGAGCCTGGAAGGTAGCCCTTCAAACGCATCCTGTTTCCCAAACCTGTGGATGTCACTGCATTTAAAGAAGGAGCTTGTCTGGTGGGGGAATTCTGGAATGTGATGATTGTGCTGGATTTGCTGCATGGGTTTCATACCCAAAGCCAAGGGTCTTTCTAAGAGACACAAGACAAGAAGACGCACAGAGATGTGCTGCAAGCCAAGGAAATCAGAATTGCCCTGCCCTACCAGAAGCCGGAAGAAGCAAGAATGAGATTCTCCCCTAGAACCTCTGTACAGAGCGTGGCCTGATGATGACATGTCCGTGTCCAGCTTCTGCTCTCCAGACCTACAGGAGAAAAAGATGCTGCTTTTTAATAGCTTTCAACACCAAAGTGATGCTCATAGACTTCCAGGAAATTTACACACAAGCTAAGGAGGTTGGTGGAGAAGAGTGAAGGCGGAAACTCTATGGGGGCCTAGGACAGAGCAGAGAGAGAGACAGAGACAGAGACACAGAGAGAAAGAGACAGAAAGAGGGAGGGAGTAAGGGAGAGATCTGCTGGGGAATAAGGAAGAAGAAAGAGTGAGCTCACGATGCAGAGACACCACCGGCATAGCAAACAGGAGGGGCACACATGCCACCGATGAACTAAGTGGTGGGACAGGACTTCCTGTCGGGAGGATTTTGAATCAGTGAGCACTGATCATAGGCCTGATTTCCTTGTAAACAAGGACATGGTTCCCAACACGTCCCCTGAGCCCAGGCCGCCCCAACCAGATGGGAGCCTGGGCTTGGCACCCACCGAGGGGGGCCTAGCTCATTTGCACAGCCCGGACCCTGCACAGGCTGCACCAGTTCCTCTGAGGCTGCCCTGGCCCTGGCCCAGGCTTCTGGTGCCAAGTGACTGGACCTGGCATGTCACCCTGAGACAGCTGCTTCTGCCAGCTGGTCAGCCCCAGCTTCCTCCCAGTCACTCCCATCGCCACGTTCCGCGGATGGGAAAGGGAGCCAGCTCCGAGATGCGTGTGGCACGCCTGTAGAAGGAATCACACTCTTCTCCAACAGGCCAGCGCTCCTGGGCCCCGGAGGCTCACCTGAACTCTCATCCTACCTGCGGTGCACTGAGCCTGGGCCAGGTTGGGGTGTGGGGAGCTGTTGCTCTGGAACTGGACTGTGGGACAGGGAGCAGGCGGGTAGGTGGCGGCAGGTGGGCATTGTCCTCTCCCTGCAGTGACCAACCTTTTTGGCTTCTTGTCTGCACGTTCTTGCTCATTTGAAGTCTGCCCCAGAGCCTTTGGGCCAGATCTCCCGTAGGGACCTTGCAGGGGCTGGAAAGGCTGTTTATGACCAGCCTGGTCTGTTCAGTGTCCAGTGTCCAGGGGGAGGCAGCAGCGCCCCCCCCACCCCCCGCCCGGGGAAGAGCATCTCCTCTGCTGTGTCCAGGTGGGTGTCTCTGGCCTTTCCCGCCAGACTCTGATGCTTCTTCCTCTCTCCCTCCTGTGCTCCCAGTGGCCCACGAGCATCTGAAGGAGAGAGGGCTGTTCGGCCTCCCAGCTGCGGGCACCAACCCCTCGGACTATTACCACCAGATGACGCTCATGGCCAGCCATCCTGCGCCATACGGGGACCTGCTGATGCAGAGCGGCGGAGCTGCGGGCACCCCCCACCTCCACGACTACCTCAACCCAGTGGATGGTGAGTGGTGGGGCTGGGGCCCCTGGGCTGAGGTGGGTGGGCAGGGGGTGGGGATGGGGGCTCCTGTCCCTCCGGAAGGACGGGCCCTCAGAGGCAGGGCCATCTCCATCCCGCCACCCCCGCTTCCCTCTGACTCCATTCCCACAGGCTGGGAGTGTTTCACACTTCACACTTCACAGGCCACCAAGCGCATGCATGGGATTTCTTTTTTTTTTTTTTTTATTAGTGAAACACCATGAGGTACAGTTGTAGACTTATAAATTTTTGTGCTTGGGTTTCAGTTATACAATGATCAAGTACCCATCCCTCCACCAGTGCCCATTTGCCATCATTTATATTTTTTTAAAAAATTTTTATTAGTGAAACACCATGAGGTACAGTTGTAGATTTACAAATTTTTGTGCTTGGGTTTCAGCTATACAATGATCAAATGCCCATCCCTCCACCAGTGCCCATCCTCCACCACCACGGATCCCAGTATTCCTCCCATCCCCCACCCCCCATCCCACCCTGCCTCTGTGGCAGGGCATTCCCTTTCGTTCTCTCTCTCTTATCGGGTGTTGTGGTTTGCAAAAGAGGCAATGGGTGACAATCATGTTTGGTCTGTAGTCTACTTTCAGCATGCTTCTCCCATCCTGGGAGGATCCTCCCAACACCCTTTATTTGGTGCTCCCTTCTCTATCTGAGCTGCCCTCGGATTTAGCATGCAGTGCAAGGGATGAGGCCAAGACTAGGGCTGAGAGCCCAGGTGCAGCAGGATGCTGAGCTAGAATGTGGAGGTGCAGAAATCCTTACCACAAAGGTGGCAGTGGAGCGAAGAAGTGAGAAGTGAGCCAAGCTGAAAAAAAAGCTGAAGTATCATTCTGGCAAGAGGAAACAGCAAGTGCAAAGGGCCTGGGGTAGCAGCAGTATGACGCCAAAGAAAGACGTGGCCCATGGGCCAGTATGGTGGGAGGGTTGGGTGGGATGGGCTCACACTCTGAGTGGTGTGGGGCCCCTGGAGGGGCCAGGCATGAGAGTGAGGAGATCTGAGTTATTCCTATTGCTCTCTTTTCTTGGGGGTCTCTCAAGCAGTGTTGCCCTCCCAGCAACTGAGCCAGTGATTCAATATCAGGCCCAAGGATGTGGTGCTGCCAGGTCCTTACAAAGCCAGAAATCACCCTGGCCACCCCAGCACAGCTCAGGGGCTCTCAGATCTGTGCCCAACAGCCAGGGGGACCTGCCCCCCAGGAACCCTGGTTCCTCCTAGACTGTGCCATTTGCCACTGGTTGGGAGTGAGTGCAGGCAGTGTGGCGGGGGGGAGGGAATAAAGGGGGTAGACCTTGACCCCTTCAGCCCTTCCAGTCCCCTCTGTGCCCCTCACTTCCCTGCAGCCTGCTTCAGAACCCCCTCCTCTAGGAAGCCCTCCAGATGAACCAGGCAGGCTGATGGTAGTAGCTTGATCCCCCAACTCTTCCTCCATTCCCCCACACCTCCAGCTCTCACTTCTCCACCCAGCTCACCTCACACTCACCCTGTGTTTCCTGTTCCCCGTGGGGGGGACCTAATGATACCCCTAAATTAATGTTCTTCCTCAATTGGGGGAGATTGCTACCTGTCTCCCAGCACCAGTTCTCTTGGGACTAGCCTCAGTCCTCTGGGCCTGCCCCTCCCCCCACCCCAACCATGGGAGCCAGGCACAGGAATGCCATCACTCAGACCCCTGGGCCAGCCCTCCTGGGGCCGTGTTTAGTCCAGGATGGGGCACACTGGGCATGGTGGACACTGCTGCCCCAAGCCCTCTACACACACACACACACACACACACACACACACACACACACACAACGCATCTACTCCCGCAGCAGGGGCATGAGGGGCTCAGGAGACAGGACTTTGCACACGCTGGGACTTCTCCAGGCCAGAACAGGGTTTGGGGGCTGCAGGACCCCAGTGAGCTAGAATGTGGAGATGCAGAAATCCTTACCACGAAGATGGCAATGGAGCCAAGAAGTGAGAATTGAGCCAGGCTGAAAGAAGCCAAAAGATCATTCTGGCAAGAGGAAACAGCAAGTGCAAAGGGCCTGGGGCAGCAGTAGTTTGATGTCTGGCACATGTGAAGCCCTGAGTCTCACCCCCAGCACCAAGTACCACCAAAGGGATTCCTGGAAGGCCTTAGCACTGCCACCTGTGGCACTGATCAAAGGTGATAAAAAGCAGAGAGACGGTGTATGGGTGCAGGCACTCAGGGCCCATCCCAGTCAGCCCCTGAGCATCGCCAAGAACAACCCCCAAACATAGAGCCGGCGCCTGAGTACCTCTGGGGGTGTCCCAGACCCCCACCACGACTAACCCCCAGTGGAAGAGAAGAGGCAGCAGAGACAATCTCAGGTGTCCAGCAGAAATAGCCTCTAAGTGCCAGGCATCCCTTGGGGCTCTCCCCACGCCTCCCAGGGAATGTCCCGGCCAGCTGGATGATGGGCAGATGCATGGGAACCTTGACCACGGAGGTCTTTAAGGGGCAGAGCAGCATACTGCCCTGATAACAGAAGACCCCCTAACTCTCAGACACGGACTCGCCTGTCCTCTGCACCTTCAGGCGTCTTCCCCCATGTTCCACCCCTCCGTCACCTTCAGACGCTGCGTGCTTCAAAACAGATCTGGGTTCCCCACCTTGAGCGGCTTACCCTGGCCTGGCTCAGGTTCCACACCCTGCCTCATCACCACAGGCACCTCATCCCCACCACCCTAGAGGGGGGCACCTGCCTTCCCCCTCGACCTTGATGAGTAGGGGCACGTCCAGGTCAGCCAGCACCTGGCTGGGGTCGTGGGGTTGAGGCGCTGTGTAGACAGAACTGCTGGCTTCCCATAGCTCAGACACACTGCGAAAGCACCGGGGCAAGGGCTGGGCTCAGAGCTTCCCAGTCACAGCTGGCCCCTGCCTGTGTCCACCAGGACCCTCTCCCACTTCTCCAGTCTGTCCTTTCATGTGGGCGGAGGGATAGCACAGCGGGTAGGCAGGCATTTGCCTTGCACACAGCCGAACCGGGTTCGACTCCTTCGTCCCTCTTGGAGAGCCTGCCAAGCTGCCGAGAGTATCCCGCCCGCACGGCAGAGCCTGGCAGGCTCCCCGTGGCATATGTGATATGCCAAAAACAGTAACAAGTCTCACAATGGAGGCGTTACTGGTGCCTGCTCGATCAAATTGACGAACAACGGGAGGACAGTGCTACAGTCCTTCCATGTGGGGCTTTGTCTCTCGCATGCAGGCACGCCTGTCCTTGCCCCTACCCCACCATTGTCACCCCAAGACCCACCAAGCCCAAGACCACCACCACACACACACACACACACACACACACACACACTCCCTTCCTTCCTCTCAGCTCAGGCTCTTGGCTTCGCTGCTGTCTTGCGTTAATAATATATATCCCATCTGCCATTCTGCAGTTGGGACGGTGGCTCCATCACCTTCAGGATAAAACCCAGACGTTGATTCGGCTGGAACAGACGTCCCCTCCAGCCTCCTCCTTACTTCCTCTTTGCACAGGAAGCCCCACCCCTGCCTCTCCAGGCACAGCTCCCTGAGCTCTGGCTATCTGCAGCGCCATGCCTGAGGCCCACCTGGCTCCATCCTACGCCTCGTCCTGGGGTTCAGGTCTCAGGGTACCTCCCAAATCTGGCTGGTTCCCCTGGAAGGCTCCTGCATGTATCTAACCTGCCGGCCAGAAGTGTTTCCCTGTAACAGGCTGCTCCTTCCGGGAAGCTCGGCGGGGGGCAGGAGCATGGCCACCAGTCTCCTGCTCGGAGGGACGCATAAGTGAGTGGCAGCCACAAAGGAACCTGGGAGAGAAAGATGCGAACTCATTAGGAAAGAAACTGCTCAGGGCAAGCAGCCGTCAGCTTGCAGCCAGCCTGGAAGGGGGCGCTGGGAACAAGGCAGCTTTGTTCTCAGGGGTGCTGGGCATTTGGCAGCTTCTGGGGGCGCTGAGACGGGCAAAGCAAAGAGGTGAGCTCAGAGGTGGGCGTGAGAGCGCCCGATCAGGTCAGCTGCCGCTGATGAACTCATCACGCCTACCCAGACGTGGCATGCAGACGGAAGCAGACGGAAGCCCGGGGACCTGGGCAGGCCTGTCTCCTTCCTGGAGTGGGGCGGGGGGAGGGCGCTTCTGAACCTGATGGATTCAGGAGCCCAAGATGTCTTGTGCACTGTACCCAATCTGCAACCATGCCCGGGAAATCGGAGTCGTGGGCACAGCCCGCTGTGTTGGCTGTGACTTGATCCTGCTGTGGTTTCTGCAAAGCACATCCATCCAGATCTCAGTCTCTGCTTTTCATGTTTTAGGCATTTCCGCTCCGCTCTGCAGACCTGTGCACGGGCTGCTTTCCCGTCTCTTTAACAGATTCCGTAGCCTAGCCTGCTTCCAGGCTACCCCTGGTCCCCACCCTCCTTGGACCCATCAATGTCCACTTTAGTCGAGGGTTAGAACCACCCCCTCTTGGAGGTCCAGAACACCCAGCCAAGGTGTGAATCCCTCTTCCCACCAGTATTCTTACCCCAGGGGCCCCTCTCAGTGTCTGAGGGCCTATGTGGGCAGGATGTGGCTGTATTCTGAACAGAGAACTGGGCCTGGCACATAGTAGCTGCTTACTGAACATGCAGAGTCATGTTCAAGGGAGGGAGCACGAGTAACGATGACCCTCACACAGAAGCTGCACAGAGCTTCCGAGTGCCTGCAACATTTGGGATTTGCAACCTTCTCTGGTCCTCTCTTGCTCTCCTGTGTTCTGTGCATGTTTAGTAAGCACCTACTATGCGCCAGGCCCAGTTCTTTCTGCTCAGGACACAGCCGTATCCTGCCCACTTGGTGCTCACACCCTAGTTGACTGCCACTAAGTAAGCTCCTTGGCCGGACAAGGGAGGCCAGTCCTCGGGTGCCCTCCTCACTCCTGTATCAGCACCGTCCTGCTCCCACAGAGGAGGCAGAACTGTGGGAGAGAACTTTTACCAGAGGCTTTA